TGAATTTTAATAATTTTTTCGGATTTTTTTGTAAGATTTATTCTGACCGATTCACCCGATTCCGATCCGGACCGCCGATTCGCCGATCCGGATCGCCGATTCGCCGATCCGGATCGGTTTTTGAAAAGCCCGATCCGGGTCACCGATCCGGTTTTTAAACCATTGCTGCATACTAACAACTTCTCATGATGTGGCCTTAACAATGGAATCTATACGAGCGCCATTCTTCTTCTCAAAGTTTGTTATTACATTTGTACCTATGTTTCTTTTCAAACTTCCCACATTTTTTTTTTTTTGACAAAATTCTTTCCACAATTTTGTTATTACATTTGTACCTATGTTTCTTAACTTTTTTTCCTGAGTTACCCCTACTTCCGACCTTGAACGTCCAATTTTGAGTTTGAGACCACTTCCAACTAAAATCGACCTCTAATTTAAGCTCCTCAAATGGTGCAAACCTAAGAAGATCTAAAATGAACGATGCATAAAAAATTTCGGAGGAGGAAGATTTTTTAACACTTGGAGTTGATTTTTAGGTTTGGGTGCGGTTAGTATAGAGCGGAGGCTCTAACAATCAAAGTTAAGTGTACCTTCAAATAATATCCCGAAATGTGGTTTTAATATTGGGAATATTTGTGATGACCTTAAAATATATTTTTATATTTAATTATAAAATTTCAAGTTTAAAAAATAATGTAGATCAAACAGAGCTATAAAAACTTGAAAATCTTGAAAATTGATGGTCCAAAAATGTATTTCAAAATGCACTATTTCCAAAACTTCAAGTCCATTTTTTTCTCATGTCCATGCATCTTGTTGTAAAGATGATCAATTTGAAGATATTTATGTATCAAAATAACCTCTTATTGTGAGACTTTTGAGATGTGCTCTAATTTGATTGTTTAGAGCCTCGGACTTGTATAAACTTTTTCTTTTAGGTTTTTCGCCACTAAAATTGCTTTTTGGTAAGATTTAAGGTACAGCTGTATAAAGCCGGGCCTTTAGGAGATACTTTCGCTTTCTTAGGGTGGGTGAGCTAGTGAGGTTTTGTGAAGCCGTGCCTTCATAAATTTTGGTAAAGCACCTCTTAAAAAACTTGCCTTAGAAAACTAAATCGGGTGCCGAAAAGACTTGAGATGGTATAAAAAAAGTTATTTGTATTTCTAACTATGGAATTTGAAGCTCTAAAGTGATAAAAATATGAAAATGTAAAATGAATAGTTCATAAAAAAAAAGTATTGCAAGATGAACAATTTTAGAGGTTCAAATTCATTATCTTTATGTGCAATTTGTATAAGATGTCAATCTTAAACAATCGGCGCATTTCTAATCATGCTAGAAGATGTAATTTAGGTGCCCATAACACTCATGATAATGTAAGAATCTATTTTAACACCTAATTTAAAAATTTAAGGCTCTAAAAATAATGTAGTATATTCGAAGGTCTGATTGCCTGTCTAAATGGGTGACACCAACATGCATGCCTTGTATAAATGGATATGATAACCTAATTGAGCATCCAATAGCATGTCCCATTTTTTTGGACATCTTTCATTTTAGAATGCGGCGGTTTTTTATATAGTAATACTATTTCTCAAATGGAAAAGGGGCTTGGGTCGTGATAACACTCCGGTCATAATCTCATTAACATCATTTTACTAATACCTTCAAAAAACTAACTCCTAAACAATTTGAAAAAAACATGTAGGGCCATTTCTTCTCCACTGAATTAACCCAAAAACACACCAACATTATTGTTCAAATAAAAATACTTTTTTAAAAAATAATAAAAAAAATATATTTAGAATAAAATAATAAGAAATTATACATATTTAGATATGTCAATTTTAAAAGGAATAAGTTTATATAAGGATGCAACCTCAAAAATCCATCGGAAAGGAAGTTATAATGTTGAAAAACCCTTTGATTGATCATCTCGACATCGAGATGTATGACCATGAAAAAAAAGGATTTTAAGTCTCAGAAATAGTGCATTTTACAACATATTATATACACCATCCATTTTCAAGATTTTTCATATGTTTATAGATCTACTTGATTTTAAC